AAATCATATTTCCATACCTTTGCAAATCATTTTCCAATTTCTCAGCTCTAGTGCAGAATCTTTCCACAGACTCCGCTATGTACTTATCATCAGTACATTTTACGGTTTCATGTTCCTCGGACAATCTGAAAGTTACCCACTGAAAGATGTTACAAATTCTGCCCCAAGACTAGTTAATTCTTTCATGTAATTTAACACTCGAGCTCCAGATAAAAATAAGAGCAAGAAAAAATTTCTCTCATACAAACGCAAACAAATTACATGGTATTCATTCCTACTGTCACAACATATGAAAAAATTAAAGTTCAAACAGTAGAAAAGGACACGTACTCATTTCTGTTATCAAGTGAGACGCACAGATCATCTCTTTTACCACACATAAGGCTGCACGTATCCCCTAATGATGATCTTAAGATGAAGTATATCGCACTATCATAGAAGGAAGAGGCATCTGCGGAGAGGATGGATGGTGGTGCAGGACAAACTAACTGCTGCAACAGCTGTGTTGTCAAGATAAGCCTTCTCTTTGATCGAAGCATCCCATATCCAACTTCAATCATCTCAACTTCATTTACCATCTGAGATTGAATGGAGAAAAAAATGGAGTTAGCAACTTCATATTTTAAAATTTAAAACGATGTTTATGATCTTTTAATGGGAATACTTTTTCTGTCAGCCGGTTTGTGGTTTGTCCCCAGTCTTCTTCCGCAGTACTGCAAGCAAGATATTCTAACATTAACAATGGCAACATGAACACATGGTCTAAAATAAAACCAAGAAGGTTAACAGTAAATAGAGGATATCATTTTAATTTTTTTAAAAAAAAAAAAACTCTTTATTGTGATCGTTAAACACCTGATATTCACGATCCTTTGCAAACCCTGGGCTTCTAAATGCCATGGTTGAAGGTCAGATGAGTCAAATTTACGCTTTTTTGGTCTCACAATGGCTGCAGTTTTGACAGTGGCAATAGAGGGCAATCCATGAGTGGCTGTCAGAAGGTCAGTTGCCGCCATGGTTGTAGCAGCAGTTGACCAAACTCTGCCACTCAAATTAACATCTGTGGAATCTACTACATCCAGAGATAGCTGTTTGCATGAATTTTCCGAAGGCTTCAAGAGAGAGAAGTGTCCACCAGGATGCTTTGAGAATAGCTCATTGTACATTGAAGGCATCCCATTTCTGAACTTAAACCAGGAAGACACGGATTGTGGACTGATCTGAGAATTTTCTCCATTACTAACTTCCATATTTTTTCGATTAAATTCATTCAGAGTTTCACTTCGGCCATCAGAAGTAAAACCTCTTGAACATGTATTTAGTGGATTCTCGGACAAAGATTTTACTCTAAAATCTTCTCTTCCTCCTGCCAACAAGTTTAGCACATTTCTATTTTCAGATGGCAATGAGTTGAGCTCTGATGTACAACTCTGTCCATGCTTTGCGTTTTCCCTTGTTGAATTCTCTTTTGACATAGCAGTTACCTGCTGAGCATCTTGAACTCCCTTTGGCTCAGTATCCACATTCTTCAATGGCTTGACTTTCTGTAGCGAGTATTGTTGACCAACAGCATGAGGCAATTTAGAAAAGTTATCAAATAGAGAATCTCTTTCAGAGGTGGTTAATCCATTTCTGTCCTCAATTTGCATTCTATTAAGATCTTGCTGATGTGGATGGACCAGTAATAAGCCAGAGGGAAAAGCATTTGTATTAGTAATCTTCCTTGTCACCCCATCTCCCTTTAAAGAATTATATGCATCGGATTTAGTCGTCTCCTCTAATATCTCATCCTTATGGTCATAATCCTGTGAATTCGTAGAAATCATGTCAGACTCTAATAGTTGGAGTCCACATTTTTGGGAATTTTGATCATTGGATCCCTGTGGAGCCAATGAAGTTGCCTCAAGAGTATTGTTTAATGCACCAATCTTATTAGCCTCTGTAGATGCATTATGTTGCTGGCTTGTGTTATTTGACCATACATTTTGCTGCCTTGCCAACAACCCACCTTGTTGGCCAATTCTTGACACAGATAAAGGCGGAGAGATGGGATGGGCCTCAAAAACTGGATACTGTTTTCCACCCATATTGCTGTTGGTGTGTCGAGGTGTATCTTGAGAGGAAGCAAGGCCAAATTGTGGATATCTAGAAGCGGTACTTGACAATGAAGCCTGTGGAGACCAACGTGCTGCAGGTGCACCAGAACTGAATTGCCCTTGATTTTCATCTGTTGCAAAATGAGGCGGCAGGAATAGTGAAGTGGCAGCTTCTGCCTCTCCTAAACAATGTGATTTTTCATCCCAATGTGCATTTTGCAATGACTCATTTGAAGGAGACATAGACTGAATAGAAGATGGGGGAGCTAACAGATTCTGATTTTTCTCCACAAACCCAGAATTTACTGGTCTTGTATCCGGATTGCTTGATAATTGAGGTAAACCTCGAGATGAAGAGATCTTATTGGAATATGATAGCTGTTGAGATGGATGAAGCAATCTCATAGTAAAACCTTGAGATGCGGACTGGTTGTAATGTTTAGAAACAGATGGATTTGGAAACACTGCCTCAGTCATCATGGACAAGGGACTAGAGCCAATAGAGCTATAGTGGGGGATGGCACTATTTTCCTTAGACTGATCAACATTTTGAAGATTCCCATGCATATTTTCACTGCAAAGTTCAGGGATAGAAAAATCATGGAGCATATATAAAATAAAATGAATGTATTATGACAACTGATTGACAACAGTAATTAAGAGACCGACAAAGTATAAATTATAAAGCATTGGCCCAATGATTCAACCTCCCAGGTGGTACTATATTTTCTTACATAACTACCTTGTTTGATTGTATGGATTTGGGCCATTTAAGCCGGTTGATTTGCAAAAGTTTGTAGATGCATCCAGATTGCCCCTAGAAGGAGTACCATCTGAAGATTTTAAATTTCTCTGGAAACCAGTTAACTGCCCCTGCAAAGACAAATAATTACATGCAACATTTGGAAGGTTATAAATTCGATAAACTGAAATACTCATAGGAATAACAAATCACCTTCTCCAAGTTCATAGCATTGGAAGAAACATCAAAAAGATATGACTGTTGAAAATGTCCCTGCCCTTGAGAATTTAATTGTTTTAAAATGTACTGGTCACGGGAGTTGTCTTTTTGCTGAAGCTTCTCAAAAAATGAGTCACCTGCTTTATCAAAAGAATTTTGTAAAACAATAGGATCATCATTTATCTGACTATCCTTTTTTCTCATGATATCATTTTCCTTGCTGTTCATAGAGATGTTAACATGCTTCATATTTTCAAAGTGCCTAAAATCATTATCAGCCTTGCAGGGAAAACTATGATAATCCCTCCAATTGTGTGTGACTTCATTGATTCGACCTTCAAGATAGTTGGATAAACAATAATTAATCAATGAAATTATTCTTCAATTAAGCAGTAGTAAATGAATGATCCTACCTTGTGGTTTTCCATGTGGTTGATTAATATTATCATGAGAGGTTGTTATCTGTTGAGGTGGTCTGTCATATTCAGAATCCTCATAAATCTGACTTGTCAAGTTCTTGTTTAAGTGCTCAAGTGGTTGAACATGTTGTGACTGGTCACCAAGTCGCTTTTGTGCACTCTTAATATCTAGCCACTCACCACCTTTTGCAGAAGGATTTTGATTTAGTTCGTGGGGGTCTTCCGGGCAAAGATGATCCGTTTGCTCAATAGAGGGTTGGATTCCTGATTGCTGGAACCCAGGAAAGCTAGAACTCATACTAGAATCATTGAAGTTTGGATATGGCCTTGAACTTAAGGAAGATGCACTATGCATGCTGTTCTCGTACCAAGCTGATTGCTCCTTTTTACTATCCACAATGTTTGAATGCTGATTTTCAGTTGACAGCTCTGTATTCTGAAAAGTCAGTCCACTCCATTCCTCCTGTATCCCAGTATCACTACTAGAAGCCTCAGCTACAGCTGACTGCATGAGAGCACTCCAGCTCCCACTCTGAATAGAAGGAAATACCTTTGAATAATCTGAATGCATTAGGTTATTTTCAAAATTTCCATTACTAACATTTGTACATTTGCCTAAAGAAGTGTCCCACATATTCTGATCCATATTGTATAAAATTTTTTGTTCAATCGGATCCAGGGGAACAAAATACTGAGAAGTATCCAGTTGTGTGACCTTTTGTTGTGTGGCACCAAGCCAACTATTGCCATCTTGCCCCCCTTGAAATTCCGAAAACGATACATTTGTTTGCAGAGAATTCTTTTGCTGGATGTTACCTGATTTGATTCCAGAATCCAGACCATGATTTGGAATTTGTTCAAATAAATTTTTTCCTTGAAAGCCTTGTTTGGCTCTATCCATTTGGGACAAGGCAAAATGGTCTGCGGAAACATTATTTATATTACCAACAGAGGAGCTGCTGAAGGCTACAGGCTGCATAGTAGGCTTCAGGCAGTGACCACTAGCCTTAGTCAACAAACTGCAAGAATCACGATCCATGCCCTGGAGCTGAGAATATTGACCAATGCTACCCCGTGCACTGGAAATAGGAGACCTATAATTAGTTTCGTCAAGCTGCTGAGGAACCAACAATGTTGAATGGAAAGATTGGCCTTTCTCCTGAGGAAACATTAATTGGTTAAATACTCCTTGAGCTGCAGAAGATGCACCTAGATGTGCCCTGTTCATGAACATTTCTGATGAATCAGAGACGGATGTTCCATTAATATAGGACGGATATTGACTCGCCATAGACTGTCTCGTGAAAGCAGAGATTTGATTCTGAGAACCCTGATGTCTTGCATCATCAAATTGCTGAAGTTGCTGCTGCCTCTGAATATCTTGCATCTGCTTGAACATCATTTGCTGCTGCAGTAACTGCATGTCATTATATGTAGACTGTTGCATCGATTGGAGTTGTGAAGTATCAATTTGTTGTTGACCCCTCACGAGCTGCTGTGATCCTCCAAGGAAGTTGAAGTCAGTTGACGCTTCAGTAATTTCAGACCTCTCAGAATTAGTTGTCAGGGTTGGACTGTCTACTGGTGCATATTCTTGAGGTGACTTTAGGACAGTTAAGCCTCTCAACATCAAGAAATGAGGATCATGGCCAGTATTTTCACCCAAGAATGCTTGCTGAGAGTGCTCTGCTTGGAAATTTTGCCCTCCAAACATATAGCCATTCGTATTCAGTGGTTGGCCTTCCAAGGTGTCACTGCAAAAACCAGGTCTTGAAGCCAGTGGTGCAAAGTTTTCGCCTAATGACACAGTCAAATGTTTTCTCTGGTATCCACCCACAGAATCTGCAAATCAAAACCTTTTGTGGTCAAAAGAATCACATATGGGTGTTTCAGATGTGCTAAACTTACCCAGCAATTATAATGGGTGGAAAAGGAGCAGTGACAAGAGTGACAAAAAAAATTTTTACTTGATGTGTACCTTGTAGAGTAGTAATGTTACAGTTTTTTCGCATCGAAACTTGGATTATCACGTGCGGTTTTCTATCATAATGACCTCAAATAAACATAAACAGGTCGCCATTCAAGGCATGCAGTTGAAGCCAGCTCTTATCTAATTTATATTATCTGGGGCAATGTTACTGTCTTCACATCATGACCAGTAGTGAGTGCTTAAAGTAAAGGTGCAGTCACCAAAATGCATCACAGCCCTAATGCCAAACAAGTGGAAAAACAAATCAATATAAGATTATAATCAAATAAACACACCGGTAAGAAACTTGACCCGAACATGAAAGAAGGTCAAATTCCAATTGAGCAGCGTCCTGAACCAATTTGAATGCACGTTATTCTTGAGGAAAAGAAAAACTTAAAGATAATAAAGCTTAGTGATTTGAAGTCTAAGAAAATCCAAAAATGAGAAGCAGAAAGCAGCCACGTAGCGACAATTACATACAAAAAGCACATAGTTAATAGAACTGCACAGTTACAACCAAAAAAATTAAGCTAAAATGAAGACCAGTAGCACAGAAAACAAATCATGAATTGGGAAGAATTCCAGTGGACTGTAAATGATGCCAGAAAAATCCAAATTGGTTTAAACCCAAGACCCACAAATTTAGCTCATAACCCTAAAATTGCCGCATATCTCTATTGACGAACATCAAAAACTCCCAAATAAGTCAACAAAATCAAGAGCCGCCAGCAAAGAAGAACTGTTGGTCCGCTGATTTCAACGAGGAACCGCGTATTCTTCACAATTTGCTTAATAGTTAACCCAGCAGGAAGGTAATTACTAATTAGCAACAGAAAGATGAGAGAAAAAATAGAATTAAACGAAAACCCACAATGAAAAGCGAGGTAAGTAGCACAGTAGCGAGTTGGGAGGCGTGATCTGAGCAACAGAATTATGACTTCTCAAGAGGCTGCGAAAACTGTATTGCGTAGCTGAGAGAGTATTGTAATGGCACAATTGAAGGCCTTCCACTTTCTTGTGTGTGTGTGTCTCTCTCCTTTGAGCTGAAATTTCAGTTCTTCTTCAAGCTTCGAAATCCACAGCAGTTCCCAATCAATGTCTCTCTCTCTCTCTCTCTCTCTCTCTCTCTCTCTCTCTCTCTCTGTGTGTATCACCGAGCTTTCTCTCACTAGAAATTTTCCTCTCTCTACTCTTAAAAATTTCTCTTTAAGTGCTGCAGAAAGAGTGAGAAACTGGTGTCTTCGTTCGGACATCAGAGCCGAAGATAAAGCGATGAAAACAGTAAATAAAAGTATTAAATAATCTCAATTAATAATCTTAATCAACAAACTCCGGTGGAAAATGCCGCTTTAGCTCCGTTCCCGAACCTCCGCTTCCAAATTAGCCTCGGACATCCAATACCAGGTTAGGGTGAGAGAGGGCTACTAGCGTGTGCTCGAGTGTACCACCGCCTTACATCTCAACCGTCCATTTATTATTTTTGTATTCCACAGTCAAGAGTCAAGTCAACGCAACCATCCTTTTTCTTTTCTTTTTCATTAAAAATAAAACTCATTTTCTTTTTCGCTAAAACATTTACATAAAATAAATGTATATTCTCAAATATAATAGAAATTTTTAAATTGTACAAAGAAAAATAATATAGTTGAAATCAAATTCCAATTCAATATAATATAAATATAACAACATAAGCTACACTTATGTTATAATTAAGGTTTTGATAATTATAGTTGAGTGAGTATTGATGAGTAACATAACATTGCATAAATTTCAACAACTTTTTAATATTGTAGCAAAGCTATGGCTTATTTCCATAAGGATGATTATAAGTTCATAAAATTAGATTGGTCTATGTAAAAATTTTATTAATTATTTATAAATAATTGATTTGGATTTATTATATCAAATTATTAATAACAAACGGTTGATTTTGGCTGAAACTATGTTAGTTTATTTTAAAATAGTAAATAATTGATCACGTTAAAACGAGAAATTAGTTGATACTTTTGATGTGTTGATAAAATATTTAAAAAAAATGTCACAAAAAAATGTGTGTATAGCTATAAAAGCAAACTAAGAGATATAATTGAGATTAAGATTAGTTTCCACCATTTTGTTATTTCAATATATTTTGAACTTTGGAGTAAAGGATTAAAAATACATTTGGTATTTGACTAATATTTAAAATACTTTTCGAAGAGATAAAATTATTCTATTTTTTAAGTAAGTAATTGTTGTATTTTTTGCTCCACATTTATTTTTAATCTTTCATAACACTTTTCTCTCCATTAATTACTATCCAAATTCCAAACACTCACCCTCTTCCATCTCTTTTCCCACATATTCTCTCTTTTTAAAATTAAAACACATAATATTAACTTTCTTTATTTATTTTTTATTTTCTACAAACTTTTCTTTATTAATTTCAGTCCATATGTTTATCTTGTTTCATCTCTCTCAGTTAGATTGTCTCACTAACTCCTCTTTACACCCATTTTTATTCACCAATCTCTAATTTTTACACACCTCGTTGGATTTTATCTACATTTAATTTTGGCTGTAGAAATCTTTTCTCACTATTATGGAGCTCTCAAACTCTATTRYAATATTTTTTTATTATATTTATATTTTCGTGTACTAATATCGTTATCTTCTCCCACAATTTCTCAAATTACTTCCTCCCTTCTATTCAGTCGAAATTTAAAGATTTAAAWTTTGAAAGGGAGGATAAATAGTCTATATATAAACAATATTGTTAAGAAAGGTATAGAAAATAAAAGTGGGAGAAGAAAATAAAAGGCAATATTAATATTTAATAATACATCGTAGAAAATTAAAAGATAAAAGATAGACTCTTAAAATAAATGAAAATTTAATTTTTAATCTAGTGTGTTTGTGTGAATATATATATATAAAAGTTAATTAAAAAAAAGTTTTTTTTTAAAGGGGGGACAAATCAATTTTAAAAGGCCTAAAAAGAAAGAACATGATGGTTATAAAAGGGAGCGGAAGTTGGGGTCACTTTCCTGCGTGGCATTGGGGGTAGAAAAGTCAAAGCATGTGGACGGTTAAAATAAAGAGTCAATTTTTTACCGCGAAACATCTCCACGTGTCTCTCAAAGGGCGATATGGACACCATGTTCTTTTTGCCCTTTCGTTACTTCTCTGCCTTTGARATTACATGTTTGACCCTCATATTTATTCATTTAATTATTTTTAGTACACGTACACCAGCCTCACTCGCAAGCAATTTARTCGAGGATATATAATTGAGTTTATATTCAGATCATTTTGGCTATTCATTTCAATTTTCACATATTATTAAATCTAAAAACTCAATTTTATTGATTCCTTAAAAGTTTTAATTTTATTAAATTAATATATTCTTCTTCAATGTTTTTAAAAATAATCTGGTATCAATTTTATATTTTCAAATGTATGTTTATTTAAATGATTATAGAGAGCTCAAACCTTCCAACTCAAAGAAAGTATAAATTTATTACATGTTGAGTTATGCTCAAGTTGACGTTAATTTTATATTTTCACATTCTAAAGTTCATTTTATAAATAAAATTGTTAATAGAATGTGATGTTAATAAAATTAAATTATACCATGTTAATATATATAATGTAAAATTATTAATCTGATAATTATATTTTGGATATAGTTTCAAATCAGTCCTTATAAATTTATTTCAATTCAATATACATAGTTAGCTTAATATTAATAAGATTTTACATGATCATGATTAATCCTATCATGATCTATAGAACTTTTTTTTTTTTTTATAAAATCAAGTTAGCCCTTGTGATTTGATTCCTACCATGATCTATAAAATCATTTTTGTTTGTATCGACACTAAACCTCACATTTTATCTTTATTTTTCATTTGATCTCAAATTAAAATATAGTCGGATAATTAATCCAATAAAAAATATCAGTTCATTTTCGTGTAAATAAAAAGTATTTAATATGAGGATGGTTCGTAACAATAGTGAAGATTGAAAAAGTTTGATGAAATGAGAGGATTCAAATCGAAGCTTTGGAACTAAATTAATAAAATATATAATTTAGTTTTAATAATTTTATGAGGAATGGTAGAGTTTAATCCGCATGGCAAAAGAAAATTTATACTTCGTGAAAGCTTCTACATAAATGCACCGCAACGAGCCTTTTGCTTTTACCAAAAAAAATTAAGAAGAAGAAAAAGAGAAATTTTCACTTCTACAAATTTCCGATATTAACCATTTCCTTTAATGATAAGGTAAATGAAAGCGTAAAATTATTATTTTTTTTTTTTTTTGAGAAAAAAGCGTAAAATTAATTGATATTAGAAAAAACAACAAAATAATTGAGTAGCTGAATATTTACTCGAGCTGCCAAATTAGTCTTTTGTACAAAGCTACTAGCCTGGCGCGTAGGATTTTGGAAGTACAACTTCCCAAACGTTTTTAAATGTTTCTTTTTTCTTTTTTTTGAGCACAATAAAACTTTTAGTCCAAGATCTGTCTTAATTAATTGTCGGTCTTATCGTTGAAATTTTAGTTGTTTTTATTGAATTTCAAATAAGTTTTCATTTAGGAAGATTTTGTATTTTAATGGTATTTCATAACTTAGAACTTATATTTTATATATTTGGTTTACAAGTTGGTGGTTTGTAAAAATGGTGTAAAATATGTTACATAGCTCGTTAAATTAACAAATCTATTAACTTGAGATAACCAAATCTACGTACTAAATATATATTTAACTTCCTAATCTTGAACCACACAAACCTAACTTGTGAGTGAAAAAGTAACCTGGCTCAATTTATTTTTCTTAATTAAAAAATTCAATATTTTCTATCAAATATTTTATTGATCCTTTTCCAGAAAAAAATAAAAATAATACAAAAATCTTTCCTTTTAATCTCTTATTTTTAATTTTTAGACAAGCTAATACATCAATACTAAGGTGTAACAAAGTATATAAATCATTCAATTTTCTTTTTCATTGATTCTATATTGAATTTTGAACCTATTGAAAATTAAAGGGATTAAAACTATGTCAGAGGGAGTAGAGATAATTATCAATAATCCATATTTAATTTTCTACCTTCATTTAATAGYATTGTTTTTTGAAAAATCTCAAGAAATCCAGGTAGTAAATACATTTTGAAGTACAATGGAGAGGGTGTCTTTATGATATCCAACAATTACACCCAGTCAAAACGAGCATAGCTATGCAGTAATTGATATATATTTCCAATAAAGAAATTCTGAGTTCATCCCCGGCCACCTCTACATGTAAAAAAAATGGAAAAAAAAAACAATTACTCCCACCTATTCACAACCATATTTTTTTTCCCACTTTTGAGAATGGCAACGAATAATATTTAAATATTTATGGAACTATCATTATTAAAAAAATACGGAACAAATAGAGAATGAATGCATGAAGAAAGAGAGGAAAAAAATAGAGACTTAAATATTATTCAAATAGTCATCCTATTTATCACACCCTGTTATATATACAAGTGAGCCACATGTCAGTTTTCGCTCCAAAATATGCTTCTCAAATTTAATAGAATTCGTTTAAAAAATAAATAAATAGCATCATAATTTATTTCAATGTTTTAATTTATGCAATATGTATATATTGTACTGTGGGAAAAAAAAGTGGGTTTGAACTCATAATTTATATTGTATGTGTTTAATGTGTAGATGTATAGCTTGTAAAATTAGGTGTTCAGTTTGGGGTGTGGGTTTTAAAAATTATAGTTTTCTTTTATTTTTAATTTTTTTATGTAATCATGAATTTAGTAAATTTATAGTTAGGGACAAATATCTTTTTAAAAAATTCTAATAGAGTTCCATAAACTTAAAACACGTCTAATAGACTATTGAATTTTTTTCAATTTTGTGTCTAATTCATCTTTTTTTTCAAGTAGTAGATCTATATGACATAACATCCTAAAATTTCAATACTGTGCCGTTTGTGAATTAAAAAAATGCTGAATAGATCAATAAATTCATTGGACACAAAATAAAAATTCGTGAAGTTTGACATAAAATTTAAAATTTTGGAGATCTACTACCAGCCTTTTACAATTCAATAATCTATGAGACATAAAATTGAAAGTCAAATCTAAAAATTTAAAGATTAAACTTGTAATTTAACCTAAATATTATTATATCGTAGACTTAGCCACATAAAAGAGTGTGAGAAGAAGTGGTCAACTTCAATTAACCCATAATATGACCAAAAATAGACAAGTTTGATGGGGTCCTTTATTTAGGAAACATTTAGTTGAAACTTCTTGAATAAGCATAGACAATTAATGAAATTATTTAACGTGATTGTTACAAAAAAAAAAAAAAAAAAAAACGGTGTGATTGATTATAGATTAAAAAAACAATTAATGAAATTAGTTGCTTTGGTTGCAAAGCTAAAGAGTTTGGCATTCCGAAATCTTCTCTGGGCCTTCCATTTCCACCCTCTTTGGTTTTTGTCTTTACCAAACCCATTCCCAAAACCCTACTGCCTTTTCCCCTATTCTTCGAACTCCTCGCCGTTTCTTCGTTTTCGTTTTTCTTACTTGTTATTTCTCCCAACTCTTCGCCATTATTCTCCACTTTCATCCTTCGTTCCGATTTCGATCGTTGCTACTGAGGAGGGCGTTTCAGATTCAAACCACTGACCATTATTGCATATCCACAACGTGCTCTAGGGTTTTCTGTGAGTTTTGGTCATTTCATTTATTCGTGTTTAGAATTGTAGTTTGAGTACCATTTCGCTTTTTCGTTTGGTTTACGTAACCGGAACCACCCCTTTGCTTTTACCCAAAAAAGAAGGAAAAAAAAGAAGAAGAAAGAGAATTTTCCACTTCTACACGTTTATGAAATTAACCCAATTTCATTTAATGATAGGGCAAATGAAAGCGTAAAATTAATTGTTTTTTAGTATGACAATTACATAGCTCACTTTGGCGCGTAAAATTAATTGATATAAAAAAAAAACATTATTGAGTAGCTTAATATTTAATTGAGAGGGCAAATTGGTCTTTTCTACAAGCTACTAACCTGGCACGTAGGAGGAAGTAGAATTTCCCAAAGGTTTTTATTTTTTTTTAGCACAATTTTTTTTTACGGAGATGTGTGTCTTGGAGCTAGATTTCGGTTGGCCGTTTTTTAATGGTTAAAAATACATTTATTGTTATTGAAAGTTTTTTTTTAATGCAACACAGCATCTTAATTGAAAATTTGTGTCAATATTTTGATTATTGTTATTGAGAGTGTTCGTATTTAATTAATCATTTCAAACATTTTTATAGGTGATAAATTCAATCATAATCGTTTAAATTTTTTAAATTAGGAAGAGTTTGAGTTTCTGTAATTTGTATTTGAATGGTATAAGAAAATATATCTTAAAAACCTAGAACTTATATTTAATGTCTTTGGTTTACGGGTTTTTTATTTGTAAAAATGTAAAATGTTTTGCATAAGTAACGCGACTTAATTTATTTTCATGATGCCCATTTCACGTAGGTTCGATGTTTTGCGTTTGTTTGGATGTTTAATCCATTAGAAAAATGATCGGTTGAAATGTCTTGAATTATCAAGAATGATGTTCTTATGTTCATGTTTGAATTTCTGGTTTTGGGTCTAAGGCAAGTTAGCTAGAGCTTATTAATGTTGTGATTTCGCTGTGTTTCTCTGTTTATGCAGCATTGGGATAAGGAAATTGATAGAATTGTGGTTATTTCAGTGTGAATGATATGGATTGTGTAGAGAGTTTTAAGCAATCTAAGGTGCAATTAGAGGTGACCCATAAAGAAACTGATGTCATCCCTGATCGCAGCGACTCTCATTCTTCATGTGCCTCAGATTCGTCACAAGAGTCAGCTGTTAGCAGCATTTTCCAGACTAATCCTCCTGCTCTTCAACCAAAACCAGATGTTGTCGAGTCTCCGGTAGCTACGCAGACAGCGGAGGATTCGACCCTAGATTGTATTAATAGAATCCGGAGTTCATCCCGGGGCTCTTCTCAAATTCGATTATCGGGGGCACTCGGAAACCATGACCCAAACCGAATACCGGTATCGATCTTCTCTGGTAAACCTTCAAACCCAATGGAATGGAGCACTGCTTCGAATGAATCATTGTTTAGTATTCATGTGGGGAACAATAGCTTTTCAAGGGACCACTTCAATTTCTTTAACAAGTCTGGAGAATTGATGACGAACCCTGGTTTAACCCAAAATCCATCCAACCAGCTGCCTCCTTTTGTTGAACCAGCAAGAGTTGAGAGCAAAAAGGAAATCACCGCGAAGCCATGTGTTGAACCCTTGACATCAACTGGACCTCAAATTCCAGCCATCTCAGTTCAGAGTGCAACAGAAGAAGTCTCGACACCTATGGATGATCTTAGGGGTCGCCACAGTGTATCAAATGACAGCATGAACAGCTCCCGTTCGTTTCAGTTCCCAGTGTAAGGAATCTTGAATCATGGATATGGATACAAAAATGGTTGTTTCAAAGATTGTTTTCACTTTGAACTTGGAATCTGAAACATTCTGGCTCTAAATTCTTTTCACTCTTTTATCCAGATTGGGAGGTGAAGGTGCAACACCAACAACAGCCAGCTCTGTCTCAACAGACTCATGTCCGACACAGCAGCCGGTGGCAAAGCAGCAATCACTGAAGCAGCAATTGCCCGAGCATCAATCTCCATCTACTGAAGCGACCTCAGCATCGCCGACCGCAAGTTCGGGTTGGTTTTCCTGCTTCTCTTGGTGTCGACGTCGGTGAATGTACTACTTCTTCTGCTCACATCTCTTCCTCTTCATCACATAAAAATCTACGGGGATGGTAACTCTACATTCTAGTAAATTAGGTGATGGCTCTAATCTTCGTGGGTTGCAATAGTTACATACAGCAGAAGAATTAGTTATCATTGTATAATCTTTTTTCTTTTTCAAGTTTTTTATGAGGCTGCATTGTCTAGATAAACACAAGGCTGAAATGATGAAATCTTGAGAGCTTGTTTTTTTTTTCTTGCTTTGATCAGAACTACTATACTATTGTACAACTTTTCTTCATCAAAACCCCATCATGAACAGTTAACAGACAAACTTTCTATCTTATGAGAACAGTTCTTGAAAACCCATTGGAATTAAACCACAAAATAACTTAATCGTGAAAGCCCTGGGATTATTGAACGTAAAGAGCCTATGCAGACAGGGTTAAAAGCAGTAAATAGCCTGGTTCATGAAAGTGTCTAAATTTAGCCATAAAATTCAATAGACAGAAAATTCTCCACTTCATTTATTTCAATAAACTTGGGACTCAAAGAGACCTCAAACCTTCAGAAAACAGAGAACCAAAAACCTGCATAGTCTCAGTTGGCAGAGCAACACCAACTTCAACCCCTCCACTTCCATCTCTGCTCTCCGCCAACGAAATCAAGTTCCCTCCGTCTACCGACGGAAACTCCACCTTCTCCGGCCTCCCCCACCCGAAATCCACCTCGTACAGTCCAAATCTCGGCGACCCGAATACCGAAACACTCTTAGCCACCGGCCCTTCTTTCATATATTTCCCTATACTATGCATTATCAGCTCCACCATCTTCCCCTCCGTCACTGCATTCTCCAGCTCTGTTATCCCCTCCCTGATCTTCTTCGCCACAATGGCGATCCCGTTTTTGTCAATAAAGTCGCTTACTCCGGTGAATACACCGATGGGTCCACCGCCGTTACCTAAATAGTTTGGTGCAATTCCAATGTCCAATCGGGGTCTCCAATCGGCAAATGTCGCCAAGCAAACCTTTTTGCTTTCATCTAATCCCTCTGCTTTAACCAAACAGCTTGAAACATAGGCGTACGTGAGAACAAATGTGGATAAACGAATTCCGGGAACCCATTTTTCCACTTTTTTCTTCAGGTTCTCAACGTCAAGAGAGGTTAATTCGAATGTGGCTTTTGCCATCTTCGGCGTGACGCCGTTGTTTGGCTTGAACCTTATGCCCTTGACGTCGCCGGATCTCCCCAATCTCTGCAAATAGCCCCGATAGAGCCTGTCGAGAGCAGGGTAGTCTTTAATGGCGGTCCGATCAAAAACAGGGGATAGTTCTTTTGGCAAACTGGGGCTCTGATTTCCTTCTCCGAGCTTACAAATGAAAGCCCATGCCTTCAAAAACATAGTCGAACTTTTCCCATCGTGGGTCGCGTGATCTGTAGTGATCCCAATTGAGAATCCATTCTCCGGGAAAAGGGTTAATTGAATCGCCATCGCTGGAGCTAGAGCTGCATCGTTGGTCGCTGGTAATTCCGGTAAGAGAGGGTGAGATTCAATGGCTGGGCGGGGTTGATTGCCAGAGAGACGGTGGAAATCGGCGTCGGTTTGAGCAACAGTGAGGAAAACAGAGTCGCCTGGGTTGTAGAGAATGAGGGGGTCGGGGGAAATTTCCGGCCAAGCGAGGTTTCCGGCGAGAGGGAGGAAATGGGATAAAGTGAGAGAGAGGGAGAGTTTGAGTTGGGGGAGAAGAGAGTGGAGAAATGGAGGATCTGAAGAAGATAGAGAGTAAAAGAGAAGGCGTTGATTGGGAATATGTTGGAAGAAGAAGGTGTCTAAGAAAGTGGTGGGGAGAGAGAGAGAGGAGGCGGAGGAGGAAGAGGGAGAGGGAGTGATTTTGCAGATTTCGAGGATCTTTACAGAGTGGGATTCCGCCATGGACGAAGCTTGGGGATTTTCTGCCATTGACGAAGTAGCTCAAGCTGTGAAAGCCAAAGGTGTTTTTATAACTCCTTTTGTTTTATTTTTTAAAATATTTTTAAAATTTTCAAATAAAGAGAAACTGTTTTAAAAAATATTTTGAATATTACGCATGACAATTACGACAAACATAAAATATTTTTCTAATGAAAATTGCTACGAAGAAATTGAAGCACGTTGTTCACGTGATAAAAATACATGCTACTAACACTAGAGATGTACATCGGTCGGTCGGCTCGATTTTCAAAGCCAAACCGACGCCGACCGACTCGATCGGTCGATCTTTTACAAACTGAGGATTGGGACTGTTGCGACGGCCAGAGCGACCGGCGAAGGCGAAGGCAACCGACGGGTGTACCATTGTCGTGGTTGAGAACTGCGAAGATCCTTGTAAGATTGTATCAACGGGAAAAAAGAAGCATTGGAGGCTGATAATGAGAAAAAAGAAAGAAGAAAAGGTAAAGAAAAGAAATCTGAAATGGTAATGGAAGTAGAAAAAGAAGAAAAAAAGAAGAAGAAAGAACGGAAGTGAAGAGGGAGAGGGAAGATTTTGAGAAATAGGAAGATGGGAGAAAAAGAGAGAGTGAAAATTAATAAATGAAAAATTGAATAACGAATGATTTTGGAAAATGGGGAGGAGAGAGGAAAGAGAAATAATTATAAAAATTATAAAAGGTTGGGTGGTTTCAAGAAAACCATGGGCGTACTTGGTTTTTCTCAAACCACCTTGAATATACCTTTTCAATACAAATGAAGTTGGTTGGTCGGTCCGTTTTTCTTCATTTGGAACCACTGATCGACTGTTTATAGATGGTAAAATTGACATCGACTGAATTGTAGCTAAAATCGACCGAATCATGTTTCGATCAGCCTGAGCAATTTTTCGAGGTATGATGTACACCCCTAAATGATACCACACGTTTTGTTCCTAACAATTTCAACAAATGTAATTAAAAAATCCATTTTCCTCCTTAAAATTTAGTTATTGAGTCGATTTTAATTTAGAATTTTCAATTTATCAAATTTCATATTAAATTTAAATAAATCATATCATTGATATTGCTAATCCGTGTGAAGTAAGAACATAGTTAATGTTAGGACCAAGGTGACAATAACTTATAGACCTTAAATTAAGTATAAAGGTATGCCCAATATACTCAAAGGCTTCGATTAGTACTTAGATCAAAATGAGAATTGAGTAGGGTGAAGTCAAGTGAAGTCATGTTCCTGTGAATGAGATAAGATTCTTTACTCATAGTGACCTCAGATCCAATTATTTCATATCTAGTATTATGATCGATGCCTATCGAGCTGTTAGTTACAACACTACTCGTCAAGATGGTGTTGTAAAATTTTGAGAGGGAAATGATGTTTAAACATGAGTGAAAGTTTGGTTTGAAAGGATTTGAAATTAGCATAAATTTATTCCATCTTTTGTAAAAATATATGAATGGTGGAGATTTAATAATATATACCCACACTCCACCATCAACTTTTTTTTTCTTTTACTCATGCCAAATTATTAGATATTGATTTGACAATTTTTCATATATTTTTTTTACCTCAACGGTAACTCTCGTTTTTTTTAATTTTTTTTTAACTTCTCTTATTTATTTATTTCTTCTAAATTTTTTTAATAATATAAACACCACGTGTTAACTTCTTGTTGGTTTGTTGAGATGACTCGACTGCGATATCATCATCTTCGATATATATGCTTTGAATTTCATTTAGTTATAATTTTTTCGTTTGAACTCCGATTTGAGTAATTCAAAAGTAGTTGAAGGTGTTGCATTGAGCTATACATTGTGTAACACTTCAAAATATCAAAATTGTCAAATAACAAAATTAAGTTGGTTATCATCAATATATTAATTAATTAATTAAAATTAATCAATTTGAGATTAAGAATAAAAAAGTCAATAGAATGACAAGCGTATGTGGTAAGCTAGGGTGAATTCCAAGTTAGATAGTATTAGGTCAATCTTGTTGGTACGAGGTGCATCCCCCTCCAGCTTGTAGCTTGGCTCGATTTGATTGCATGATCCAAATGGCTTTGCTAGCCTACCACTCCATGGAAGCTTGACTCGCGTACATGATATAATCTTAAAATTGAGCTAGTATAAACCAATCAATAAAATGTATTATATTTGTTGATGGCGAGTTTTCAGAGATGTTCATATATCCTTCGAGACAAACTGTCATCAGACAAATGAGTCTGCAACAACGATCCTTGACAGCGGTGCATACCTTGCCTAATGGTCTCCGATAATCACTTTAGCAATCGACGAGAAGTATAGCAAAAAAACACCTTAGGAAATTAGTGACAAAATTTTCACTTACCCCGTGGTCGTGGTAATTCTTTCCCTTTTATAGACACACTCGGACGACCTAGGAGGATGCCCTATTAGTTGCAAGGTAGCAAGACTTGTTGTTGTACGAGATTCATACGAGATCCTTGAGGTATAGTGGTAGTATGGTGACTTGCTACTCTGTCCCCCCACAAAGTGTCGTCTGCAGAATGAGCCGCGTCTCCCGTATTACGCAACATGTGCTCGGGCCGCGTCCTCTCCCAATCGTACACTTTGTTCAATTTGTGGTCCCCCAACCATATGTCACTCTTCGAGCCTATTGCGTCATCTGCTCGGGTTTTACCCTCAATAATATTTAATCATCAAAATCAAAGACAAAAAATATCCCAGCTGGATTATTAAAAATTCTCAAACCTAACCATAAGATAAAAAATAAAAAAATTCCCAAGCAAGCAATGAAAATGAACATGTAATTTAATAAAGGAAGCCACGTGATATAGATTCTTGGGAGTCTCGACGGTGCATTTCAGGTTCTGAAAGCACCAATCTAAAGGGGTCTTCCCTTCCAATCTGGGTACGTTTGCAAATGTATGGCCACAATTTCAAGGTGTGGTGGTTGGAGATCCCCTGTTTTGGAACAGAGTTATTTGCAGAGCCATGACCGGAACCGACAAATTGTCACTCGACGAATTACGCTGTCGGAGATGTTGTTCGAGACGACATCAGTCTCAGTGTCGTCGGGGAACGAGATTTCCGACGAAAAGGAGTGCTGATGTCGGGATGGAATCGTATGATAGGAGGGTGTATACTCTTGAACTCCGGGAGCTAAGCTGAACGGACAGAATTAAAAAACTGTATTTACATCATGTTGATTATGAACTTGGCTCCCTACTTCCAACAAACAAATTTCAAAAATCAAATTGTTACTGTTAAAGAAAACGGTACCGAAGTACAAGACGTAACCATTTTACTTTTGATTTTATTCAAAATGTAAGATATAATTGTTTTCGTCCTGAATTAATATCTTCTCTAACCAGCATGAGACATTGTTTGCACATTTTACAAACTCAACATATATAACTTTCTAATCCTAACTTAGTAGATATAATACTTCTTACCATCTTGGTAAATGGTTTTATCCTTACAATCTATTATACACCACATTAAAATTCTCATTGTAATTTTTGTTTCGTTCAAGATCCCATATCGAAGATATCAACATACTAAACAAAGTTTATAAAATACAAAAACTAATTTTTTTTCCTAAATAAATAATGGATTAGTTATCTCGTTATTTAATATATCATATAATAACTTTATGAATTTTATTATTTTTTTAGTATTATAAAAATATCTCCTTTCTCATTCGACATGTTGTATTAAAAAATATAATTTTATTAATAATTATTATATGATGTTAACTAATCGACAATGTCAATTTAAATATAATAAGTAAGATAGTTCCTGCCTTTTACGATCCCTTCTCATCAATAGACTCCTGACATATACGAAACAGTGTGGTTCGCTTTTATCTCATAAAAAAAAGAAGTCGTGAGTTGGAATCATGTTCATAGAAACCGTGAGGTAGAGTATTATAATTAGTTCTAGAAATTTTCCTTCGTCTTCTTAAACGATTACATTCCCGTTTGTTTACCTTATTTAAGTCCCAGCCCGGTTCTCTAAAAACTCGAACTCCCTTCTCTCTCTCTCTCTCTCTCGCTCCATCTCTCTCGCCGTTTTCTGGATCTCAGGGTTTTGCTTAGGTTTTAGCCACGGCTCTCCATAATTCAACTGTACATATTCCACTCAACTACTTCTCTACCCTCCGTTGCTGCGATCTACGGCTCCCTTCGTCTTCAATTGGAAACTTCATCGTATTTTTCTCTTCCGGATTAATTCCTCTACATCTCCTTGTTCATTGAATCTCAAATGTATTCCGACACCATTGCAGTTAATGGTACATAAGATAAACATCCTATTAGTTTGTTTGTTTGAGTTTTGATTTTTTTCTGAACGCGAATTTCGCTCTTAATTCGATATCCCGCGCATTAGGGTTTTCTCAGATGCGGAAATTCTCGTGTTTCTCCTTCACTTTCTTCGTTTAGAGCTGGATCCAATTTTGAGTTTTGGATTTTTTTTCCTTTTCTGGTTGTAGGCGTGTGACGCTTTGTTCTACTGAATTATAATTTCTCTCCATCTGTATATGTTTCGTCTGTTTGTAGTGCCCTTCTTTAGCGTTTCTGTCATTTGAATGCCGAGACTCTCGTTTCGTCTAATTTTGTATTTAGGGTTTTTCCTTAAGTTCTGATTTATGATTTATGAGAGCTAGCGAAGTACGTCGGCGATTTATTCTTCTACTTAGTTTTATTTTCTTGAACTTCCCGCTTACGAGCGAAGTGCAAAGCGGGGAATTAATTCATGGGTGAATGACGTGGAGTTTTGGGTACTTGTGCAGAGTGGTGCTGTTGGTTGTTATCCTTGCGGGCGGCAGATAAAGTGATATGAATATTTGAATATGAACGATGGAGGTGGGGCGAGTGGAAAAGTGCATGAACGACCGAAAACGAGAAAGAATTTGGGTAGTGAAGACTTCCCTCGGGCGCTTGCCAGGATTGCTGTAACCCAAATATGTGAGAGTGAGGGGTTCCAAAATTTTCAGCAGTCTGGCCTCGAAACGCTAGCTGACATTACAGTTCGGTATATTCAAAACTTAGGAAAGACTGCAAATTTCTGTGCTAATTTTTCTGGCAGAACAGAGTGTAATGTATTTGATATAATTCAAGCTCTGGAAGATTTGGGGTCTGTCCAAGGATATGCAGGTGCTTCGTATGTTGAACACTGCCTCGCAAGTTCCAGCGCAGTCAAAGAGATTGCTCGTTATGTTGCTCAAGCAGAAGAAATCCCATTTGCATACTCAGTTCCCAAATTTCCGGTTGTCAAAGAGCGAAAGCTGAGACCTACTTTTTCGCAAATTGGGGAAGAACCTCCTGGAGAGCATATACCTTCTTGGTTGCCTGCATTCCCTGATCCCCACGCATGCATTCAGTCCCCCACTGTGAAGGAGAAAGTAGTAGAGCCTCAAACAATTAAAACTGAGCCAGAAAAACAATGTAAAAGTACCGAACAACCCTTGTGGAATCTACAGCAGTGGTTGTTTTGCAATGGATTGGAAGGATCCCACAAAGAAGGCTCCAGAAATGCAGCTATGACCAAGCAAATACAAGAAAGTAACCCATTTCTTGCTCCTCCTCTGCAATTTGGTGAGAAGGAAGTTTCTTCTGTCGTTCTTCCAGATAAGATCTTGAACAATTCGAGTACAGGTTACCCTGTCAGGGAAAACTGTCTTGTGGATGCCCATGTCTCAGTGCTGGAGACTTTTGCTCCTGCTATTGAATCAATAAAGAACAATTTATACGATTCTGAGGAAAATTTCTCTCTGAACAGGAGATCCACTGTACAGTTTAAGATTGGGGCTGGAAAGAAGCCTGTAGGTAGCACGATAGAATTGAGGGCGCTAAACAATGGTTTGAAGAAGTCTTCGTCTTTGTTTCTAGTGGAGGATGAGAAGGATGACAAGAAAAGGAAAGCTGAGAATATTCTGAAGGATTCGATGGAGAACTCCAAGGAGCTACCTCAGTTGTAATTAGGTTGCTTTGTTAAAATTTGTACACGGAATTTAGGAGACTGGCAGCAGTTTTTCCAGGTTGTGAAAATTACTGACATTGTATTGTCTGGATATTAGCATTATAGAATGAAAGATTCAAATTTGTGGAAAGAGAGATTCCAGTTTAGTGAATTTTTGAGGTATGCTCGTGTTTATTCTGAATGAATTCGTTCTTTTCTCTTCTAAATTTTGCATTTGGAAACTTTTTAATAGGAGAATACCATATCAGATAGGGTTGGGTGAATAAACCAAGCCTCTCGTTAATATCATCCTAAGCAATATATTTTTGAGCGAAGGGGGGAGATCATGAGAATGGGAGGGAGTATATTATAAAGCTTAGTTTAGCATATGCGTTGTCTAACTATCATCCTATCCCCACCGCCAAAAAGGGTTAGAAAACTAAATTGAGACAGACGTTTTAAGTCAG